TTTTTTTCTCTTGTTACATCCATGCTTTAGTTTTAGGCAGCAGCCTCCTCAAAGTTCTCGTTGCCAATCTCATTCCCTAAAAGTCTCATATTGTAACTTAGCTTTGCTTCCCATAGAAAAGTGATACTCTGATTGTCATAGTGAAAAAAACATCAAATTTGTGATCAGATAAAATTTCAGAGACAATAAACATTAATTCCTCCTTGACTTCTTAAGTTTCAATCAACATATACCACCCACTCACACAGTCATACATTAGACCGTGTCATCTTCAGTAACGAAATCTCCTCAAAATTTTTGTGTTGAACATTCACTATGTAAACATCAGTCCTTCTGCTTCATTCCTCCGGCATTCATTCCTATAATTCTCCAATTTCAGTGAAACCTTACCATTTTTTGTTTTTTATTACTCTTTGCTTTTTCATTTACTTCCTTATCCTCCAAGTTAGAATCCTTGGTCTAGCACTACACTCACACTCTTACACACATTCCTAACTTGCTGGCCCTACTCTCTCTTCGTCATGTTATTGTTATTGTTAGTTGCCATTGAGTTGGCTCCCACTCATAGTGACTTTATATGTAACAGAATGAAACGTTGTCCAGTCCTGTGCCGTCTTCACAATCATCACTATGTTTGAGTCCATAGTTATGGCTATTTCATTCACCCATCTTGCTGAGAGTGTTCCTAGTGTTTGCTGACCCTTCACAAAACATGATGTCCTTCTCTAGCCATTGGTCTTTCCTGAAGATATATCCAAAATAGACAAGCTGAAGTCCTCCCATTTCCCCTTCTAAGGAATATTCAGGGAGCTCTGGTAGCAGGGAGCTCTGGTAGCATAGTGGCTAAGGCACTTGACTGCTAACCAGAAGGCTGGCGGTTCAAACCCACCAGCCACTCCCCAGAAGGAAGGTTGGGCAATCCTACTTCCGTAGTGATACTGCCTCGGAAACCCAAGGAGGGGTCGCTATGAGTCAGGGCTGACTCGACGGCACATAACAACAACAACAACATAACAACAACAAGGAATATTCTGGTTGTATATCTTCTAAGACTTATTTTTTCATTCTTTTTGCAGTACACAATATATTCAATATTCTTTGCCAATACCCACAGTTAGGATGTATCATTTTGCATTATCCAATTTCTACAGGCATTTTTTTCACATGAAGCATGCCAACAAATCTATCCCTGTCTTGTACCTGAGCAGCTAAAATTAACTGCGTTAAAATTAGGCAGTCATCTAGGCCTGAGCCAACAAAGAGAACTCCAAAATTATTAGAAGAAAAATCAAATTGATACTCGATCTTGCTAGAAATTTCACAGTAATTTCACATACCAGAAAATTATTTCATACCTTCTCTTCTCTCCTCAAGTCATTAGTATCCCCTCCCCACATCATACTCCTCAGCTGATCACTTACTCTCTTAACCTTATAGTGTTAAAATGAAAAAAAAACAAAAAAAACCTCACTGCTATCAAGTCGATTCCGACTCATAGCAACCTTCTTTGGGTTTCTGAGACAGTAAATCTTTATGGAAGTAGATTGCCCAGTCTTCCTTCTGTGGAATGGCTGGTGGGTTTGAACTACCAACTTCTGGTTAGTAGTCAAATGTGTTAGGCACTGCATTATGAGAACTCCTTTATAGTAAAAATAACTCAAACTCAAACTCCTTGTGTTTCTGAGGTGGTATCACTACAAAAGTAGATTGCCCAATTTTCCTTCCAAGGAGTGGCTGTTGGATTTGAACCGACAGCCTACTGGTTAGCAAAAATAGAAGCTTCAAATAAAACTATGATCTTTCCATCATCAATTTTCACCATCTTATCTGCATTTGTACCCACATACCTTGCTTTCCACTTTGTACGAAAGGAAGAAACCTCCCCATACCTCCCTAAGGCCTGCCCCTCCACTTGAGCTCTGAATCACATCCACTCTCAACTTCATAAAAACATTGTCCCTGCAACTATCCCCTTCTTCTATCACTTCATCAACTTATTTCTCTACTCTTTCCTCTATCTTTTTCTCTACCTTTGGTATCTTAATTTTCTTACCTTCTATTCAGTCCTTAACCCTCTCCAGGATGACTTATCTCCCAACTACTGCAGTGAAGTAGCTATTAATGTCATCAGTTACATGCACTTGTGTCTTCATCTCACCATCCTTCTTAGCAAAATTTTAAGTTGTTGACCACTTTTTCCTCTCACTTCCTTTCTTGACTTCTGTAATATTCTCCTGCTTTCTGTTTCCTCATTAGCACTCTTTCTTAGTCTTATTCGTCCTTATCTTCTAGGGAAGCACAGCTTAAGTCTCTATCTTTGACCCTGTCTCTTCTTTGTTTGTAATTCTTCCTAAGTGATATCATCCTGTCCTGTGGTATCAAATACCATTTTCAGACTTAGAACTGAATGAAACTCCTTCATAAACTCTTGACTCAAACATTGAACTGCTCATTCAGTTTGAATATCTAAAGAAATATGACAGTTAGCATCTCAAAAGCCAAACACCATCTCAGCCCCAGATCTGCTAATTCCAGTAGATGGCAAAGCCTTTCATCAGTTCTTCAGGACAAAAATCTGGAAGTCATCACTGACTTTTTGTTCTCTCACTTCCATGAATCAATGCATCATTGAGTCTTATACATTCCAGAACACTTCTCCCAGTTATATACAAATCGACCTCTTGTCATCATTGCTGCTATCACTCTTGTCTACGCTAGCATCACCTCTCACTTTGACTCTAATAACAGCCTCCAAATAGTTTTCGCTCTCTCCACTCTCCCCTCCTACAGTGCATCCTCCACACAGCAGCTAGAGTGATTTTTATAAAATTAAAATCAGCTCATTTTTCTCTCCTCTTCAGTGCTTCCCAAAGGCTTCTCATTGTAACAAATATCAAAATAAATCCCTTATCTTGGTCTACAAGGCCCAAAATGATATGACTCCTGCTCCCTTTGACCTCATCTCACTTCATCCTCTCACTTGTTGCCCTTGATAGAGTCTCACTGGCTTCTCTATTCTAAAAATTGCCAATTTTCTCTCATTTCAAAAATTTAGGATTTTCTGTTCCTGCCTTCCAAGATCATTGGATGGAAGTTTCCTTCTCACCATTCAAGTCACTCAAATATCATCACCCTAGTGTAGCTGTTGGGACTACATCCCACATATATCTGATCCTAAGCCCTCCAAAGGGCATCCAACTACCACATCTTATTGTCTATGCACAGAAAAGATGGCTAGTAGTGATGTATGATAGATGTTCAAGAAATGTTTGTTTATTGAGGTACTTTAAGGTAGAGATTAACAGTTTGGGTTTTGAAGTCTGTTAGAAATGGAATTGAATCCTGGTTCTACCACTCAACTACTCTGAGTAATTTGTTTAACTTTGATAGGGACCAATTTCCTTATCCGTAAAATAAGATTAATCAACTATAAACTCATAGGTAGAGTAAATAAAATATGAATGAAGTACTTAGCACTATGTTTTAAACATAATAAACAAACAATACACTGTAGTATTTTTAATTGGATGTGTTTGGTCTGCTAGCTATGAAGCTCAAATATAACTTTCTCATCCAATTTAGCATTTTGTTCACTGAAATTGATGATCTGTTTGTCATTCTGTGCCAGCTCCCACATGTTTGAATAAGCTGCACTAATGATGGCTCTGCATGTTGGGAAGGGTATGACCCACATCCCTCTGCACTCTAAAATTACACATCTGCCAAACTGCTACTAATTCCCCAGATTTCTCCCATCTCTGTTATTCACTCCAACATTTGCTGTAAGGTACAACTCACCCCAAGCGACCCCATGTGATGATATAATACAGAAGGAGAAAACCCTTTCTAATAACTGAAATAGCACACAAAATTAGGGTTGAGGCCAATATAGAGGGAAAATATAAGCAGTAAACTATTAGGTTATACGAGACAACTGAGCAAACATGTACATGTTGTGGCTTATCTGCTGGTTAGGATATTGCCACACAAGAGAATGGAAAGAAAAACCAATTGAAAACATTCAGACATTGTTATCTTGTTTGTTATTACTGAGAAACCTATATGAAAATCTGATAGATTCAATCAGTTAAAGTTACTAAATAAATACCGCTGAGTTGACAGATAATATTTGGAACTACTGACTCAATACAATGAAGAAATGTGCTTTTAAGAATTACCTATAATGTTTCATATTAGTCACCAAAACATTGATTCATTGCCATTGAATCAATTCCACCAACCCATAGCAACATTACAAGACAGAGTAGAACTGTCCCATAGGGTTTCCAAGACTGTAATCATTGCAGAAACAGAGCGTGACATCCTTCTCCCACAGAGAAGCCAGTGGACCCACCAACCTTTCAGTTAGCAGCCAAGTGCTTACCCACTATGTCACCAGGGCTCTTCATATTACTCACCGATACACTATAAAACCTCACTTACATGATTGTTAAGTTTTTTCTTTCCTTTTTTGGTAGGTCTGGGAGAATTTTGTTATTACCTTATCAATAAGTTCTCATTCTGTTAATATAAATAATTATTTTTGTCTATGGTTATGGCTAAATAAATTATTATTTTTAATTACATTTACAATTTGTTTCTTTGCTTTACTCAGCATAACAAATTTGAACAATGTCCATATTTTTTCATGATTGTAAAATGTATGCCTTTACATATATATTTTATACTGTTTATCTAAAAAATTAACTTTACTCATTCATTCATTCATACATTCATTTATATTATTTAAAAGCTATGTGTTCTGTGACTCCTAAGTGTTGGGAATTGAGTTATATACCTCTTTATTATTCAAGGTAACAAGTTTAACAAAAGCACTTAGAAATTTGAATAAATTTAATAAGTAAAGGCTTTCATAGATTTATATAACAAATTTTGAACTATTTATAATTTTTATCCAATAACAGTTTTTCACAAACTTTAATATGATGATAAATTTAACAGAACACTATGGTTACATTCTTTATTAAAATGTCACATACCTTCATTGTAATATTCACAATCCAGGGCTAAAAGGAGAAAAGATAAATATTAATCTATATAAGAAACTGACCACTTAGCTGAATGCATACAATATATGGCCATATGTTTATCAATGACCAAGTAAAAGAATGTAGGGTAACATAATTATATGGAAACTTCCTCTAATCAAAGAGGATTCTGTAAGAGTGACACATTTGAATTAATAAAATTTCGTATGATTATTTTGTTGTTGTTGCTGTTATGTGCCGTCGAGTCAAACCCGACTCATAGCGACCCCTCCTTGGGTTTCCAAGGCAGTATCACTACAGAAGTAGGATTGCCCAACCTTCCTTCCGAGGAGTGGCTGGTGGGTTTGAGCCACCAGCCGTCTGGTTAGCAGGCAAGTGTCTTAGCCACTATGCTACCAGAGCTCCCATGATTATTTTAGAGGAAGACAAATATATCTGCCAATTGAGAATGCCAGCTGAAAGTGTTAAAATCATTAAGTGTTGTTCTGTTGACTTACTACATATACAAGTAAACTAAAATGTTTAAAGAATCCAATCTACAAGTAAATAAATGCAAGATTCTTTTTTTTTTTTTTTGTAAGAACTATGTTTCTTATAACCAAAACAGGGTGAAACTGCACAAACATAAGAGGATTAGAATCATAACCAATTTCTCTGAGGAGGGTTTATTAATAATATATAGTTCAAATGTTAAAATGACAGCAGTTAAACACAAAACACAGAACAATTACCTCAAGTTTTTCTTTTTATCAATCCTTTCATACAATACCATTTGTCTACTTTGTCAAAGGAATATAAAAATCAGTTGTCTTAAATTGTCATAGAATCAGTCCTATGATAAAGCAACAATTAATATGAGTCTGTCTCTATATATGGTTCTCATTTTATCATATTCTAAGTACAGTACTCACAACAAGTAGTAGACGACCTCCAGTGAATCGATATCCCTTCCTGACAACACTTGTATGCGTACGCTGCGATGCTTGTGCATAAACATTCACAATCTCCACCAAGATTACAGTTACATGTATCTTCATGACAATTTTTGGCAAAAGAAGTCACATCAATCTAAAAATGAAGTGAAAGGTAATTTAACTTCAATAACTACTGACCATAATTGATTAAATTCAACCTTCTAAAAGAAAATTGACCAGTATGTTATCAAAATTTGACAGCTTAACACTGTCACTTAGAGACTTCTCAATATATTTACATCTCTGTATTGCCCAAAGGAGAAGGAAATTTATAATGCAAATGTAACATCAAAAATCTAGAAGAACAAATAATAAGATCAGTGAATAAAAATAATTTCAATATCTGCAATATAGCAAATTAGTATTTTTGTGAAGTGTATTGTTTCCTTATTGGCATGTACTTATCATAGTAAAAGAAGACTATTTTCTGCTTCCAATTATGCTTTTACTTGATTTTTCGAATATCCTAAGCTTATTAAAATTTCTATTGCAAACTAGAATTATTATATGGGAAAGGAGTGTAGGAAGCTAAATTTCTAAATAAATTACATTCTATCTTGGGATATGCTTCTAAAACCATTTGAAATGTGTCACTAGTAATACTTTTAAACTATGCTTTGGGATGAGAGTGCCCATTTGGCAAAGTTCTCTGAAGACAAATAAACATGATCAGTGAGAAACTCATCTACAGGAATTTGCTCACTTTGCATAGAGTAGCTTAATTGTTCTCAGGGGTAACTCATTAAGAGTTAAGAAATGAGTTTGAGAGCAGTAATGATGAGCTAGCACAGCCTGAATTAGAAGGCAGGAATGCTAAGTGAAGCAAAGCACCAAATATTACCATCTAATAAGCTGTATTTAAATAATTTTCTGGGTTAATATCTTCTAATAACCTCAAATGTCAATTCCTCTATGTCCACCAGGGCAACTCTGCCTCTCAACTCCAGAACTACAGACTACAGAATTATTTCCAGATTACCATTACTTTTATGTCTTGATCATAAAATGATGTATATAAAAATACTTTACAAATGAAAAAGAATTATTGCAAATGTAAGGTACAGATATATGATGTTAAGTGAGATGAAGTAAGAGCAAATGAGTAAATCAATTAATACATCACTTCTATGGAAAAGCAAACTAAAAATAATTGTCCTCCTAAAAATGGCTAAGCAGGACACTTGAAAAATCAATGATTCCAGTCCACCTCAATATTATAGAAGCTTTTCCTTAACTTTGATAGATTTTTAAAGTATTCATTTACCACATTGCGACATGGAGCAAAAAGATCACTGTACAAAATGGAGCATTCTTTCTTGGCATAAGGAAATTTGTTTTGCTGTGCCTCACAGGGTTTAATTGCTTCGCCTGGACTTTCACACTGTTGGAAAAAATTAAGGGAGAAAAAAAATAGTGTCATTTATTTAAAGGGTGATTTCTGAAACTGAAACCAGAGTAACACCCTTGACTCTGTCCACTACAATTGCATTTAATATATTCTCATCCTTTCAGAAAGGTTTTATCTAATGCATCTGCTCCAGTTAACTCAATGTTAATAGCATATATTATTTTGAAGGCAACCAAATACAATACTAAAATCATGGTGCAGTTAGAGACAGTGTGAAGGCAAATAATTGTAATTGTCTTAACATATGGTATTTACAGAACTAGAAAAATTACATGAGGAAAATGAAGCTCTTTCCTTTTATTTTTCACTTTTTTCATTTCCATCACAACCCATCTTCTGAGGAATAGTATACACTCATGTCCCTAAAGTCTCGACTTCCATACTGCCAGCAATTTGGCCTCTGACTCCTCTATTCCACCTCCCTGAAACTGCCCTGGGAGAGTTCACCAATGACCTCTTAATTACTACATTTTGAGGCAATTTTTCAGTCTTATCTCACTTGCCCTTTCTCCACCTTAATTCTGTTTAATACTCTGTCCTCTGCCTGTTTAGTAGACACCATTTTCTGCTGGGTTTTTTCATACCTCATTGTTGCTTCCAAATCTCTTTCCTCCTCCCTTCTCTGCAAGGCTTCATCTTCATCCTCTACTTTTCTCATACCATACAACTGACTGGGCTTCAACAACCTGAATATACTAATATCTGCCAAATCTGTACCTCCAGCCAACATTTTTTTCCCTACTCACTCCCACCACCCACAAACCTATTCTCTTCTTTGTCCTGCCTTAGAGAAGAGTGCCAGCATCTACTGAGTGAGCCAGGGTGAGTAGGAGACTGTTTGGAGTCCTCAATATTCTTCCTTTCTAGTACAATCATTCAACAGACAAATGAAAAGAAAACCAAACTCACTGCCATCGAGTTAGTCTCGACTCATAGCAACCCCTCCTTGGGTTTCTGAGGCAGTATCTCTATGGAAGTAGACTGCCCAACCATCCTTCCGAGAAGTGGCTGGTCGGTGTGAATTGCCAGCCTTCTGCTTAGCAGTCAAATGCTGTAGGCACTATGCCACCACAGCTCCATTAACAGAGAGTGGTGATTTTAATCTTTAATTCCTCTAAATTTATATAGTTTCCTAAATCTTCACTGACTCAATGTTTCTAGCTAGACACTCATAACTAGTCTTCAGATCGTCAGTCCAGAACCCTCCCCTTGTGTGTTGCATTCCAGCCATTCTACTTTGCATTCCATCCATTCCCAGCTTCAAACCTTACAGTACAATTACACTGAATGTGAATTTCCGTGTAAGCACCCCACTCTCTCCAGCTTCCTAACATCTTTAGATGGCTGCGCCCTCCTTTCCCTGTTACAGTCTTTCTCATTATCTTTACTTAACCTAGTTCCTATAAACTTTATATGATTCAGCTCAGAGACATCCTCTCCAGAAACTTCCTTTAGTATCACAACCTCTGTTTAATGTGCACTTCTATCAAAGTAATAATCTCACTATATTTTCAGTGTTAATTTTTCTACCTCACCTACTAACCTAGAACTTAAATTCCATAAGAGTAGAGGCTGTGTTTTATTTCTATTATGTGTTCACAAAACCAGAAAAATATCATATAATATTTTACATATAAAAAGAATAAAATCCTTATACTCTTAATCTTAAATGTACATTTCAAATTTGACTGAATGGGGTAAATGTTTTACTCCAGCTCTTGGTTATTTTTTTAAAAAGACTTAGACATATTAGACAAATTAGGCAAAGTAGTGAACCAACTAACCAAATAGTAATGGTGTTGGTTAGTTTTGTATGCCAATTTGGCTAGTCGAGTTGTTAAATATTAATCTAGATATTGCAATGAAGGTATTTAGTAGCTATAGTTAACATCTATAATCAATTTAGTTCAAGCAAAGGAGCTTATCCTTAATAAGGTGGGTAGTTTACTTCAAGTAAAGGAGATTACCCTTATAAGGTAGGTGGGCCTCCTGCAATCAATTGGAAGGTCATAATAGCAAATACTGAAGTTTCCCAGATAAGAAATTCTGCCTCAAGACTGCTGCTTCAACTCCTGCTGAGTTTGCAGCCTGTCAGCCTGCCCTACAGAATTCAGACTTGCCAGGTCCCACTATTGCATGAGCAGATTCCTTAAAATAAATCTCCTTACACACACACATACATGCACTCACACACAATCTCCAATAGCTGCTATTTCTGTAGAGAACCCTGGCTGATACAGTAGCCAATCAAGGTACTGAAGTTGCAGACACTCTTTTAACTTAAATAGAAAAAGAAGGATAAACTAAAAAGTAGAAGAAAAGAGTAGAACCAGTTTCCGATTTGACTCTCTTTCTGAGTTATTTTCTCATTTCTCAAAGTGTGTTTCAGAGAACACTACTTCTTTGACAACTAATAAATAGAAGCATAGGTTTTGTGTCAGAAAGTTTGGGAAACTCTTCAAATATATCCCTCCCTTCGATTATACTGTGGCTTATAATGCCTCAAGAAATGCTCAGAAATATGTCTAACTTAAGATATTGAAACTCTTCCAGAAGTTGATGACCACAAATTCTCTCTTTATATTTATCCTATTTGTAAATAAAGAAACCATTAATCACTAATAATATGCAGGAATTAACTATAAAATATTTTTAAACCCCTGAAATTCAATTTTTTTAAAATTATTCACTAAATTTATTTAACTCTTAATGTTTTTCTGGTTTTATGAACACATAATAGAAATAAATTAGTATTTTCATGTGAACTAATATCATAGCATCAGACACAGTGTTCTGAAGAACAAACTTTGGGAAATCCTTCTTTCATCTATCCGTTGCTTTGAGATTGCAACAGTTCATTATCCTTAGAAATGCATGTACATTAATAAAGCGTTTTGCCATGCTGGAGAAAAGCATGAGATTTGAAGAATATGTAAGTTTGATTTTCATTCCTGAAGATGGAAGAAGAGTTGATGGTTTTGAGCTGTGGTGCTGGTGAAGAATGCTTAAATACCGTGGACTGCCAAAAGGACTAACAAATCTGTCCTGGAAGAAATGCAGCCAGATGCTTCTTGGAAGCAAGAATGGCCAGACTTCAAATTACCTACTTTGGTCATGTTGTCAGAAGGGACCATTATCTGGAGAAGGATGTCACGCCTGGTAAAATGGAGGGTCAATGAAAGAGGAGAAGGCCCTCAATGAGATGGATAGACATGGTGGCTGCAGCAATGGGCTGAGGTAGTAGGGGTAGGGAAGCTGGCACAGGATCGGGCAGTGTTTCGTTCTGTTGTACACAAGGACACTATCAGTCAGAGATGACCTGACGGCACATAACAACAACAACTTCCCGACTATATATTAGACAAGTCACTCAATCTTCCTCAGTCTCAATTTCTTCATCTATAATCTGGAGATAATAATCATTATTGTCATAAGAATTACATGAGAAAGTAAATGTGAAAGTTATTTATCAACTGTGAATTACTAACAAATATTAATTAAAATAATATTACCTAAATAGTCTTGTGAGAATAAAATATTCTGGTAGCGTAGTGCCTAAGGCACTTGACTGCTAACCAGAAGGCTGGTGGTTCAAACCCACCAGCCATTGCTCGGAAGGAAGATGGGGCAATCTACTTCTGTAGTGATACTGCCTAGGAAACCCAAGGAGGGGTAGCTATGAGTAGGGTCTGACTCAACGGCACATAACAACAACAACAACAGTGAAAAAATATGTCAAATAATATATTTTTACTTCTAAAACATATATTTATATACCTACCTGTCCTAATGCCCAGCTATCTCCAAATACCTGGGCATTTCTCACTTCCAAGTTATTAGATGTGGTCATGTCATTTGAAGTACATTTGTCAAAGTTTCCACACAGTCCTCCTAGTTTGTTCTAAAGTAAAAAATTGTCGCCATTAGTCTATATTTATTTTAACATTTAAGGAACCGTAGTCACTGAAACTTTTGAAAAATGTTTATTTGCTTGGTAGAGGGTCAATGCAAAGAGGAAGACACTCAACAAGATGAATTGACACAGGACTGCAACATTGCACTCAAACATAGCAATGACTGAATGGCACAGGACCAAGCAGCATTTCGTTCTGTTGTACTGTGAGTTGGAACGGACTTGACAGCTCCTAACAAAAACATATCTATTTAATTATTAAATTACTTCCAAAATGTCTCCCCATCCCCCAAATTTTATATATCCATACTTATCAATATCTTAGCATTGATACAACTAATAACACAAATAACTTCAAAAAGTATAATACAATGCACAATGTAACACAACTATCAAGCATTTTACACACATATATGTGTATGTGTATATATAATTGATGTATGTGTGTGTGTGTATACAACACTTTTATTCTGATGGTAGGCCTACATCTTGATATGCTTAAGATTTGGTAATTCTATAAATGTTGAAATATTTTTACAGATTATACTTTGAAAAGCCAATTATTCAAAGCATAACTTTGAAAGAAAAAGTCATACTTAACATTCATAAATCATGCCATGATGGGACAAAATAAATGAAATACAAATTCTAGTCTAGATTCTGATTTTATCTCATTTGTTTGAAAGGTTGTTTTGAGTCATGAAATCTTTATTGCAATTGCCACATGGACTTTTCATGTCAACTATATTCATTGGATTTTTTTCAAAAGTAAGTAAAAAATTGGGGGAAAGATATGGAGTAAGAGTTCAGATATGGATAATCTTCCAAAAACAATGGATCTCTTCTTTAATACCTTGAATTTAAACATACTGAACTCTCTTCTTTATGTACTGAAGAATGAGATACAGCCCTTCATTAATAATGATTCCCGTTGCCAGCAAATCAATTCTGACTCATAGCAACACTACAGGACAGAGTAGAACTGCTTCATAAGGTTTCCAAGGTTATAATCTTTGCAGAAGCAGACTGCCATATCTTTCTCCCATGACTAATGGTATAGTATATAGCATATGTCTTCAACAAAGCAGACAAAAATCCTGGGATCATGACTGCCATGGTCACTGATTACTACAGGGCCTCTACTCTCAGAAGCCAGAACAACATTAAAAGAAAGTGGTCATCCAAAAGCTGAGGCAGTGGAAAGGGGGAATATAGAAGAATAAGTGGTTAATTTATTTCCAAAAAGTAATGAAGAGAAGATGCATGGAAAACATTAGTTGAAGAAGTATGGCAATAAAGTAAGATTATTTTAGCATTATTAAAGATCCCAACAAACACCAGGGAAAAAAAGTTTCAAGTTTTATCCCTCTTAAGGTAAAAATATATACTAACTCTAATATACTATCATATCTTAAATGTGTTGTTGTTAGTTTCCATCTGTTGTTGTTGTTGCTGTATGCCATCGAGTCGGCCCCGACTCATAGTGACCCCTCCTTGGGTTGCAAAGGCAGTATCACTACGGAAGTAGATTGTCCAACCTTCCTTCTGAGGGGTGGCTAGTGGGTTTGAACCGCCAGCCTTCTGGTTAGCAGTCAAGTGCCTTAGGCACTACGCTACCAGAGCTCCTAGTTTCAATCTAGTGACTCTAATTTATAGCAATTCCATGTGTGCCGAGTAGGACTATTCCATAAGATTTTCAAGGGAGTGACTTTTCAGAAACAGATTGTTGATCTGTTTTCTGAGGTAGATGCTTCTGGATGGTTCTCTAGTGCTGCTCTAACAGAAAATTTCACAAGTGGGTGGCTTTCAAAAATAGGGATTTATTCTCTTACAGTTTAGGAGGTTAGAAGTCCAAGTTCAAAGTGCCACCTCTAAGGGCTGGGTGAAAGTCCATCAACCTCGGGCTTCACTCTGCCTCTTGCTCCTGGCCCACTGATGCTGGAGACTTCTCTTAACTCAAATACCTGCTGGCTGCTAGGCTGACAAACCCAAGGTTAACAAGTAAAATGGCACAGTCCCAAAATTATCAAGCAACATGGTAGGCCACTAGTTCAAGTCCAGAAATAGTCTCAAGATCAGCAGATAACATGGCAGGCCACTAAGATGAAGACTCAGCCAAATGCAGGATCCAGATGTGTCAAAAAGCTAGAGACCTTCCTCAACATTTTTGTCTAATATACAGGGAGCAGACCACATCCCTAAGGCAGAGCTACTCAGCTGTTCACAGTAGATTCCACCATGGAGTTGATTACCAGTCTCATCATGGAGAGTAACTATATCCAGCTGCTCAGCCACTCAAAACTAGGCTGAAAACTAGTTAAAGCCCATAACCTTAACTACCACAACTGCCAACCTTTTGGCTAGTAGTCGTATGTTTAACCATTTGCACCATCCTTTAAAATGTTTCTTTTCATTTCAGTTTTATGAGAATATGTTGTAATGTGCAAACTTTCCTCTAATTAACCACAGATTATATCCATGAGTCTCAATATCAATTTCAGAAAAACTGGCTTTTGTTAAGAACATAAATGTAAAAGGCAAAATGTAATTTCTTTTAGTGCATCTCATTTAGAGCTTAGGCTGACTTACCTTCCACTGTGGTCCAACTTTGATATGAATGGTTGTCTTTTTATCCCAAAGAATAGTGATATCTTCCTCTGGAAAGTACACTACTGTATAGTAGCCAGCATTCCAAAGTTGGTACGTAGGATTATTTTCCAGAAAAAAACCTAATCGCTTCTTTAAAAGAACATAATAAAGAAGAAAATGAATTCTACAGTCTCTAGAAACAAAACATATAAAATTAATTACATTGTTATCTATCAAGAAATATCTATATACTAGTATTTTGTTAGGCATTGTCTTTTCTGAATTCTATAGAATAAAACATAAAAAAAGGAAATATGTAAAATTAGAAGAGCCCTGGTGGCACAGTGGTTAAGCATTCAATTGCTAAGAGGTCGGTGGTTTGAATCCACCAGCTGCTCCATGTGAAAAAGATGTAGCAGTTTGCTTCCATAAAGGTTTATGGCCTTGGAAACCCTATGAGTAGTTTTACTTTGTCTTACAGGGTTGCTTTAGATGGCAGTGGGTTTGGTTTTTTTGGTTTTACATAAAATTAGAGAACCAATCACAACCTGGTAGATGGGCTGAACGTGAATAAATGAACAAAGGAAAAGAAGGCATTTCAGTTACAGAAAATGGCATAAACAACAATATGGTTATGGAGGTCATACAGCATCAATCCTGCCTAAAAAGAGATTTTAATCACATCAATGATGAACAAGTAATATTGGAGGCTAAAGATGGTGGCCTCACCTGTGAAAGAGAGAAATTTGGCCCTATTGATATTTATTATGAGTTAAGGATAGCATGGCTGTAGTCTCCTGACTTTTTAAAATATTTATTGAAAACTATAACTAAGTACTGTGGGAGACTTCCAGGAATTCACAATCAAGTGAAAATATTTATATGGGATAGTGTGGGTATTTTTGTTTTGTTTCCAGGGTTGGTTTACATCAGTTATTCTGATACAATGCACATCTTTTCTATTTGCCAGTAGACACAATATTCATCCTTTTCATTACACGAGACAGTTTACTACAAGAAAGACAACTGTTTTGGTCACATGGAGATGCCATACTCCTTACATTTTGGATTAGGAAGTAAAGACACTTCTGTTTAGAAGAGTGAAACATCATGAATTGCTCAAAAAAAAAAAAAAAAAATGTGTCAAATTATCTTTATAAGAGCATTTGTATTTTCTCTTAAGTTGTTTTTAACACATCCTTATTCCCAGAGAGAACCTTCACCTATAAATGAGTACCCAGCTGATGGCTGTATCAAACATCTGTAATTACTTCAAAAAGATATCAAGATGCCTATGGGCACTCTGTTTTGCTCAAAGCTTGATTGTTGCCTGGTTTGTCTTAAGGGTTCTGGCTGAGATACAGGTTCTAGAGCAGTGGTTTTCAAACTTTCACATGCAGGAGAACTGAGTCCCCATTAACATCCTCACCCAAGATATGCCATTGATTGAGGCAGGACCCAGACACCAGCACTTATACTCCTAATGATTTTAATGAAGTTTCAAGACCAAACTTGGAGCAACACTCAAAATTTCACAAAAGGGTCATTTTTCAAAGGCCATTTGTCACATCATATCACTCCCAAATCCAAACTTTCTTACCTGTAAAATAAAGTTCAAATAGCTTATCAAGCCATTCAAGGGCCTCCAGGTAGAACCCAGTCCCCTCATCTATTGTGTATGCCCTGGTGCCCCTGCATGCTGTTACCTCCTGCTCTCAGTCTTTGTCACACCCTCCGTTGTTCATCCTAATAAACTGTGTTTCAACCAAACTAAAAGGAGCTCTAAATCCCTTGTAGTTCTCCCAACATGCCATTTTTCTTTTTTAGTTATACTTTTTGAATGTATTCGTTCCTCTGTATTTATTGTCATCCTACTTCCTCTCTTCACCCAGCTAACACTTACTCATCCTTTAAGGGTGAGTTCAGACTCCTTTCATCCAGAGCATGTCTTCAGAGCCTTCAAAAATGAGGGTCGAGAAGGAAAGGAGAAGAACCATTTCTTGAAATTCATTATCTCATTTAATCCTCATATAAACTTAAGAAGTGGATTCTATAATTAGCCCAAATTTACAGATGGGAAAACTGTAGTTTTGAGAAATTAAGTAAACTTATCCAGATGATACAGGTGTCAGGAATTCTAAGTTGGTTCTGGTGGACTCCAAAGTCTGTGCTCTTAACCGCTACCCTAAACCTACAAAGCTATTTTGGATATTCCTCCCAGAGATCTTTCATATTACCTTGTACATACCCCTGCCATAACACATCATCCTGAACATTCTTATTTACTGAGTATAAGTTCTTTAAAGGTAAGCACAGTCTCTTTTCATCATTATAGCCAATACTTAGCACATTTTTATATATAGTAGGCATTATGGAATGGCCACTGCTGGCACAATGGTTAAAACACTCAGCTGCTAACTGAAAGGTCAGTGGTTTGAATCCACCCAGCAGCTCCACAGGAAAAAGACTTGGCAATCTGCTCCTGTAAAGATTACAGTCTATGAAACCCTATGGGGCAGTTCTAGTCTGGCCTATAGGGTCACTATGAGTTGGAATCAATAGTACACAACCACAACAATCATTACGGATAAATGAAAGAATTTTATTCATTCATTTAAAGTAGGCAGGCTCAAAGGACACAGAATAAACAAGGGACACATTGGTTACAATTCTCATGGACCTGATAGACTAATGAGGAAGACACAACTTACCGAGTGTTTTCATTTTAAAGGTCAGCACAATGTCTTTATGTCATTATAGCCCATAATTAGCACATTTTTAATATATAGTAGGCATTCTTGAATAAGCCCTGGTTGCACAATGGTTAAAGCAATCAACTGGAAGTGATTGCCCTGAAGTGTGATGCATGTTACAATAGAGTGCTAGAGGGCATGGAGAGGAGCTCCCTGGAGGAAGTAGGTTGACACTTATCACTTGAGTATAAGTAAATGCAAATGTAGATCAAAGCAGAAACAATGATCTTCATGAAAGACCAGAAGGGAGAGAAAGGGTATTTAAAAAACTGATACAATTTCTGGAATAAACACTTGAAGAAGAAAGTGATGAATGGTAAGGCAGAAGTCCTCACCACACTGGTGAGGACTTGTAAGGGAAATGGGAACCTTTTTGGGAGTTTGGAAGCACCAGAGCTATGAGATTAGATTTCCATTTTAGAAAAACATCCTGACTGTGAAGTGGCAGGATGAATTAGAAGGGAAGAACCAAAGTTAGAAGCCACGAGTTCAGATTGAAGGCTATTAAAGTAATCCAGGTAAGAGATGACAATTGCTGGTGCCGGGATGGTGAACATGGTAATGGAGGAAAGAGGAAAGAATTAAGAAAATGGAGACCTTGAGTTCCAGTAAGATGGCAGAATAAGCAGACAGACTGCACAGACCCTCTTCAACAAAGAAAAAGGGAACCAATTAACACAGATACAGAAGATAATCCTGGAGCCCTGAGCTTTGAAGGGAAGGATATAGAAGTGGACT